GTTTTAGTTTGCCTAGCCATGACTGGGCTGGAAAATTAGAGCAATGGCCTGGACACCACTCAAGGGAAACAGTATCATTAAAATAAGGTGATTCTGTAATTCCATCCACTCAAACAAATGCATTTTTATGGTACTCAGAATAAAAACCTGCCATGTTGGCAGAGGACTTGGTGAGAGAGAACATGAGCATGAACACATATCTAGTGAAGATAACTATATACCTCATCTTTGTTAAATTCCAATTGTGGGATCAGGTTAAATTATAAACATGACTGAGGAAATTCAATTAATGCTGACAGCACATGCTTAACTTATGTGCTTGTAATAAAAAGGGCACAGTTCAGTGAGCTAAGGGGAAGAATGCCAGGTTTAACTTAGCAATCCATGTTTATAATATTCTAATAATACAGAAATTATAAAAAGCACTTTTCCCTAAGATATCCTAACTGGTAAGTGGGAGAAGACTGTCAGAGAGTTTTACAGAAAAGCACCATATATTCAGGAAGAATTCATTACTACATAAATATAGTATCTGATTGTGCCAAGGAACCATGAAATGGTATGTCGACAAGGAGCAAATAGATGTCCCACTCAAGCAAAATGATTGGAGAGCAGCCCACACAGCTCATTAGTTTCCGATGTCCACACATTCATTTTGAGGGGCTATCTGAGATAGTACCTCCGATGATATCTTTATGTCTAATGTTTCACAGAGCTTCAGGTCAATCTGATGAGTTAATCTCCACCTTCTGTGAGCAATGCCAAGATGAGGTTGCTTGGAAATCTTAGTGGTGGTTTAGTGATGCCAGTTTTAGAGCTTTGGATTTGTGACCATTACAATCATTCAAATGAAATAAATGTCTCAGCATCTACTTACTCTGAATCATGAAGGTTGTGGATATGTTAGTACAGTTGTAGCCGCAAGTGGCAAAATGCAAATAAAACTAACTGTAGGCAAAAGCTGTCTTTGTATTTCAACTTTAATATTCTGCTTGACTTTGTTCTGCATCTGGGTTCTCTCCACCTGCAAGTCAAGATGACTCTTTACAGATGCAGCCTCAAATTTTTTAAATTTAGCATTAGCTTCCCCAGCCCACCTGCATACAATGAAGAAGTATATTTTAGCATTAGCTTCTCTTAATGGAACATACCTTTCTCTCCTTAGCTACATAAAGCAAGAAAGGTACACCTTTCTCAGAAAAAGAGTGTGCAGATGAAAACAACAGGTCCTTACAGTAGGTCTTAATGAGCCACATGTTTGAAACTAAGCCATTCCTTCAGGACACTCCTTTAGGATACTAATACCAAGCACAGGCTCACTATGATTATGTCACTATTGTTTTCAGAAGAGAGCTTCAATACAGGGCCCCAACACACACACACACACACACACACACACACACACGCAAGCACTAGATTGTGAAACCTCATCTATAACTGATAAGACAAAGTGGATGGTGTGTCTCAACCAGATTCCCCCTCCCTCCTCCTCCTGATCAATACATCAATCAATGAGAATGGAGAAGTGATGAGTAGTCCTGCCACCATCTCCGCTTTCCCACAATAAGACTTGTGTTCTGAAGGAAAAGTCAAGTTCTAAAATTCAACAGTAAGAAAAAAATTTGCCTAGGTATTTAAAAAGAAGTGTAAAAGTGACATAACTAGAAGTCAACTGAGAAATTGGAATTCAACCCCTACAAAACTGAAGGACCTGTGAGCAAGAATGTTAGGAAGTGACAAGGTTTCTACAGGGCTGCTTCACATTCTGACAGCTTCCATTGGAGCCAAATTCCCCATGTCTCCTTATAGCCCAGGGGTAACTATGTCTCCTTATAGCCCAGGGTTTTTAGCAAAACCTATTAACTCAAATGATGTCATTTTTTCTCGTGTGACCTATGAGCCCAACAGGTTTATCAGCCAGTTTACAGAAGGATTCAGATTTGACCACTTACTTTGAGCTCATCTAAATCAAACAAAGACCATCAAATTTAGCTAACTACAAAATTTGCTTCCAGTCTAGCTCAAATCTGTGAAAAATAACCTAGAAATAATGCACCACACACACCAGGATAACAATGTCATTTTTGTGTATCCCCAGTTCAGGACTCTCACGGGTATTATTTTCAACATTTAGCACATACTAGAGTTTTAGGTTAGTGCAATCTCAGTTTCTAAATATGTTCTATTTTTATTCTGTTTTGTCTAAAATAATTTCTATATATTGATTTCCTACCCAGCTGCCCTTTTAAATGTCACTGTATGCCCATAGATTTATAAAACAAAATCTTCTAAATTAGGCTTCTCTTCATTCAGTAGTAGGATAACCATTCTGTGCCTCTCCCATTAGTAGACAAGCCAACATTAAAATTTATTAGCTGAATTGGTAAAGCAATATCCAATACCACCAAGAGCTCATTTAAAGCCTTTGAAAAATCAAATGCAAAAAAAAATTAAGGAAAAGCAATTATATGTAGATCAACACAAAAGAAGAGCAGTATAAAAACTAATAGATATTTGTTTTGTATGCTGGTAGAAATTAGTTCTAATAACACAATTACCCACTGACAAATGTAGTTTGTATGAATGAAGAAGGCTTCTCTTAAATGACATAACACATAGGTCTCAAACAGAAAGAAGGCAATATCAATTTAGCATTTGTGTGTGTGTACCTGCCTCCCTCAATTTTGGTTTATGATTTCCTACACAAATATGGTGAGGCAGAGGGGACTTTCTTGTGAGAATCTGGCAAGATTAGAACTGAGCTGATGTTCATTATCCTGGGACTTAGTGAGGCGTCGTGGAAAGTTTCCCCCTTGGAGTAAGGCAGGCCTGGATTTGAATTGGTTGTACCCCATAAAAGCCATATATCCTCAGCAAGTTACTTAAACTCTCTGAACTTTACTATTTTGACCTGCTAAAACAGAGGAAATACTTAACTGGTGAAGTTGTAAAAGAAGTTGTAAAAAATTTGAACAATTTAATGCTTTTATAGTGTTTAGAACATTTTAAATAAATTACTACTATTATTAATTTTTAGAATCTTAAAGTTGGCAGAGTTTATTTAGTTCTTTTAGTCCAACTTTTGACACAATGCAGGAATTATCCACTCCCAAATTTCCCTACAGATGACCCTGCAACTTCTAGTGAAGGAGAGCTCAGTGTCTAAAATGTAGCCACTCCATTTATATGAATCTTTTCCTTATAATAAATCCCCAAACTACCTTCCCATAACTTATATCAACAGCCCTAGTTCAACCCTCTAACATTAAATAAATACTACATTTAACCCCTTTTATTTATGATAAATCTTAAAATATTTGAGGAATATGCAATTAAAGAAATTCTTAGACCATTAATTCCACTGAGGAAAATGTCTTTTATTATCAAAACTAAATATTTTTTATGCCATTTGTTCAAGACCTTTGATACTCTGTTTGCTTTCCCTTAGATGTAGCCTCACTGATCAAGCCTAATGATTGGTACTTTTTATCAATTCTGTCATTTCTGGAAAATTCTTAACCATTGTTTTTTCACATATTTATCTAATAAGCCTTTCTGGTACTCCAATTAGATATATGTTAAACAATTTGATTTTTCTTTTCTTACCTTTCTTTCATGTTTTTCATCACTTTTCTTTCTGTTACATCTTTAGAAGTTTCTTCAGCTCTATCTTATAATTTACTACTTTTCTCCAATTATACCTGATCTGATGTTAGGTATAATCTATAAAATCTCCAGTGAGATTTTGTCAAAAAAATTTTTTTAGTTTATAGAGGCTTCATTTCTTTTTCTTATTCTTTGCTTCCATTGAAATTACATCTTTCATTTACTTAAACATGTTAAATGTGCATGCAGAATACTGAAAAATATAGTATAACATAGTGGTTAGGAATTGTGCTCTGAAGTTAGACTGTCCAGGTTAAAATACCAACTCTACCACTGAATCTTTATGGGTCTGGTTCTGCTGTTATTTCTGCTAATTCTCCCTTTTGGTGCCTTGTTTGTGATTTCCAATCATGGTTACTTATGCATTGGGACTGTATCTCTGGAGGTTCTCTGAGGCTTGAGTAATGAGTGTATTCCTACAGAAAAAAAAATGTTTATTTCCTTCTGATTGATGCCTGGAGGTGCTACTAATTTGTACTTATGTTAAAATAATTTCTTAGATTGCATTTTTTTCTGATCATATGGATTAACTGTATTTGAGCCTTAAAGTCAGGAGAGATTATGATTCATCACAGATAAAATTTTCCCTACTGGCCAGGTTGTTTTGCTATCTCCCTTTGTAAAGTAAAATTTTAAGTGTAATCTTTCACAACGGGGATAGCCTATTTCAATTTGGCCGATGAAAGACATTTTTAAGTTTCAATTTTATTATCTAGTCTATGAGCTATATACACCAAATTTTCTTAGCATTTCTTTAAATCACATCATTTTTTTTCTTTACTGAATCATTCCCACATCAACAGGCTATTGTTTTGGGCACCATTTAAAAAAATCTTATAACCTCATATCTTATTTCATTGCTTTTCTTTATAGCAAAAGTTTATAAAATGCTATTTATACCTGTTGTTTCCAACTTATTTGTTTCCATTCTATCTTGAATCTATTTCAGTAAAGTTTTTCCCTCGTCCATAATCTTCACCTGGCTAATGCTTTGTTTTTGTTGACTGATTAACTCTTCACTGATGTTTATCACTTAGCCTTGGACATCACTGTAACCCGGTTTCCTAACTCTCTGGCTCTTCCTGTCCAGTCTCTTTTGCTGGTTCTGCATCTCCATGACCTCTACTGCCAGGCATTGTAAGTGAGGGATTTTGTTGGGTTTAGATTGATTAAATTATAAAACAGATGAATATTACTGCTTCTACTTCTAGCCAAAACCAATGTGTAGATTTCAAAGTTTTTTACTACTTTATCTTGAATAGTACTACTATTATTCCTATCTTTTCATAGGAAACCAGCAAAGTAGGTATTATCAACCCTATTAATCAATTTTAATACTTATCTGGCAGGGGAGATACCATAATCATGAAGGCAGTTTTCCCAGGGCAAGACTTATCCATCACACTCTGGATATGCTGACCTCTGCTATTTCAAATGTGGGAGATTCGACTGCATAATTTGTGGTAGTGGGAGACTGCATTCACATTCTCCCCTAAAAATGTATATATATAAATTTTATTTTATCAGATAATTTTGGAGCCCCTCTGCATGCACATGTTTATCAATACATAAAGAATAAGTGTTTTTTTCAGGCAAATCTGTCAGCCTTTATTTCTAGGCATGTTTGATGTATAGATCAGAAGAATGCCACAGGCATAATTAATTGTGCTTTTACCAAGTCTTCAGACACTGTCACTCCTGATGTTTTTGGAGAAGAAATGATAAAATGTCTAGGAAGTTCAAAAACCACATGTAATGAATAGTGCTTAATAGATTCAAACCAAAAACAGGGGAAACCTTCAGTGACATTCTATAGTTAAGTCCTGGCCTCCAATTGCTTCACTCATTAGTTGATTGATCAAACATGTATTTATTGAGTGCCTTTTTTCAGCACTGTTTTATGTGCTGCAAATATATAATTTTCCTTTGTTTCATGAAGTTTTCATTATAGTAGGAGAGACAGGCAATAAATAAGTAAAATATATCCTCTATTAAACAGCAATAAGAACTAAAGACAATAATCACAGGGAAAGGTGATAAGAAATGTGTGTGAGGGAGTGCTTACAGATGGGATGGCCAGCAGAGGATTTGGTGTTACAACAAATATATTGAAAGAAGGGAAGTAGGGAGACTACTATTGCCTTACTCACCATGTAACATAGTGGCTAGCACAAATTGGTGCTTCATAATCTTTTTGAATAAATGAACAAATATATAACATTCGATTTTCTGCAAAGGCCTTTACAGTACTAACCATATCAGAATTTTATTTTATTTATTTTATTTTTATTGTTTTACTATTTAAGTGTTCTTTATGGTTTTTTTTTAATATTTTATTTATTTATCTTTAGAGGGGAAGGGAAGGAGAGGGGGAGAGAAACATCAATGTATGGTTGCCTTTTGTGCGTCCCCTGCTGGGAACTGGCCTGCAGGGAACCGGCCTGCAACCCCAGCATGTGCCCTGACTGGGAATCGAACCGCGATTGTCTGGTTCGCAGGCCCGCGCTCAATCCACTGAGCTACACCAGCCAGGGCTCTTTATGTTTTTAATTGTCATTCAGTTACAGTTGTCCCCATTTTCCCCCATTACTCTCCCCACCCACCCCACCCCATCTCCCACAGTCAATCCTCCCCCAACCCCATTGTCTTTGTCCATGGGTCCTTTATACATGTTCCTTGATGACTCTTTCCTTTTTTGGTCCATTATTCCCTTCCTTCCTCCCCTCTGGTTACTGTCAGTTTTTTCTTTATTTCCATGTCTCTGGTTATATCTTGCTCACTTGTTTTGTTGATTAGGTTCCACATACAGGTGAGATCGTATGGTATTTGTCTTTCACTGCATGGCCTGTTTCACTTAGCATAATGCTCGTCAGTTCCATCCATTCTGTCACAAAGGGTAGGAGCTCCTTCTGTCTCTCTTGTGTGTAGAATTCCGCTGTGTAAATGTACTATAGTTTTTTGATCCACTCATTTATTGACGGGCACTGAGGTTGCTTCTAGCACTCAGCTATTGTAAATTGTGCTGCTATGAACATTGGGATGCATAGGTTCTTTTGGATTGGTGTTTCAGGGTTCTTAGGATATAGTCCCAGCAGTGGAATTGCTGGGTCAAAAGGCAGGTCCATTTTTATTTTTCTGAGAAAATTCCATACTGTTTTCCATAATGGTTGTACCAGTCTGCATTCCCACCAACAGTACACTCGGTTTCCCTTTTCTCCACAGCCTCACCAGCACTTGTTTGTTGATTTGTTAATGACGGCTACTCTGACTGGTGTGACATAGTATCTGATTATAGTTTTAATTTGCATCTCTCTGCTGACTAGCGACACTGAGCATCCTTTCATATGTCTCTGGGCCCTCTGTATGTTCTCCTTGGAGAAGTGTCTGTTCAGGTTCTTTGTCCGTTTTTTAAATTAAATTGTTTGTCTTCCTGGAGTGGAGTTGTGTGATTTCTTTCTATAGTTTAGAGATCACATCCCTGTCCAGGCCATCATCGGCAAGTATATTTTCCCATACAGTTGGTTCCCTTTTGGTTTTGATGTTTTCTTTAGCTGTGGAGAAGATGATGCTATATCAGAATTTTAAAAAGCATTTCCTATAGCACACATTCATCTGGCTTCGATTTTTCACTTGTACCTGCTGATGACTCAACATAGCCACGAAGTGAAGAAAGTGAAGAGATTTAGAACAGGCCTCCCCCAAAATGTGCTACTTTGGCATGTAGATTATTTTGAGCTGAAGGCAACTGAGACCTTGCAGGCTCAAGAGAAACCTTCGCTTCTCCCTGAAAGAATTTAAATTTGGAGCCTTGTCCATCATAAATGTTATTAGCAGAAATAATTTTTATGACCTATCTCTAGGGCTTGGCAAATTAAAATTATTGAACATCTGCTCTTCTTATCAACCTATAGATGACCTTTCCCCCTGAAGCCTCAGGTGCCTAAATTCATCCTAGTTCAGAATGCCATAGATACCTCATCTTACTTTTCTGTCTCTGAACCTCTCAGGCATGTCACATCTCTCACTCTGCCATGTCTGTGGGGTTTCCCTATGTATATGTATGTAATTAAACTGAGTTCTTGTTAATGTCTCATGTTGACTTAATTATTAAACTAGCTGGAAGAAACTAGAAGGGGAGAAAAACTATCTTCTAAGCAATGATTCTCTGCTCACTCCAGCTGCTGTTGGAATGTCACATATTGTTTCCCTTTATCTTAAAGATGGTTAGAAAAAGGCTGCTTTATAAGTTGTCAAGAGCATGTGTTAGCTGGGGGTGAGAGAAGTGAGTTATCAGGGAACACGATTAAATCTTCATGTTTTTATTTCTTTTGAGATTCTGTGATTTATTTTGTAGTGATTTGAGGTGGTGTCGGGTTTGAGGGAGGTTTCGAGAGGAAGCAGGGGAGAGAAGGATGAAACAGGTTCTATTGACTCTATGCATAAAATAGAATCAAGTCAATAAGGCCTTTTGGAAAAGGTAAAATAAATACCTCCAACAACTTTTAGAGTGCCCTATAATATAGATAAGCTTTTCCTCGAGGGTTTCACCAAGGTTTCTCAAGCTCATGGTTTATTAAAAACAACCTGGCCTTCCCAAGGGAAACTGACAGGTCACTGACGTTCTTTGTTTTGGTGTCTAGTTTGCTGCCAGTACGCACAGCAGCCCTCTCATTCTTTCTATTTTGGATTGTCTCAAACGGTGAAAAGTGGAAAATATGAAGAGGGCTGTTATGACTACCTCTATAATAGCAGCAGCCATTAGGGAATAACCTTCCATTTCTTGTAATTAAATTGCTTGTGATTTTTCAAAAATACATTTACATCCAGCTAACCTGCCAAATCCAACAAAATTAAATTTTCCTAAAAGTCTCAGGATAAAAAGTCAGCCATCCCCAAACAGAAAGTGATCGGGTTGGCCGGGTTGTTTTCCAGAGCTTTCCTCGACCAGCCGAGACTAAGGTGATCCTGAACGGGAGAGAAGATGAATCATATAGGTCTGAAATTTCAATCCACAGCCCGCTGCTCTGCCTGCTTTTTAATACATGTCATATGGCCAAAGGACATAAAGGACTGTTTTTCCTTCAAAATATCTAAATTCTAATGATAAATGGCCCTTAGCACATTATATTTCCCACTTTTCTATACCAAATTCTTAAAGAATTAAAAGAAAAACAAACAGTAGCAGCAGGGTGTGGTCTCTTGCTCCAGGCAGTCCTTAGTTTAAGAATCCGGTTTTAGTGAACACCACCCTTACTGTCCCTCCTTAGTCCCAGGATTCATACTCCCATCAGCCAAATGTAATCCACAGATAATACTCTGCTCACCTAATTGTGGTAAAGCATGTTGAGAATTTGAGAGAAATTGGTGATTTTAAAGCCCAACTATTCAAAACCATATAAACTTTTAAGTTCAGCTTTACTAAAAAAGAATTGGTATTTATTAGACCATGGTATGGAATGAAGTTTGCAATATTCCTATTTCTGGGTAATTTATATACATTCCAGAGGCAAAACTTATGAACAGGAAAAGTTAATATACTAAATAGTCATCATAGTCGATTTCCTTAGGACTCCATCAGATAAATATATCGCTGGCGGGGCTACATTTGTTTTATGTCATTGAAAGCAATGAATTGTATGTCTTTGTTCTATAAATTGTTTCTTTTTACCAACTTTGGTCTCTCTCAGATAAATGAGAGTTTTTGGTTTAATACTAAGATTATTTTTTTCTACAAAATCCCTCTATTGATGTTGTCAGAGGAATACTATCAATTTCTATAGAGAGAAGTCAAAGAACCTAAACAATGTCAACAATATTATCAAAATTTAGGTAAAGTTACTTTTATTTCACAAACTAGATGAAGTAAACACTTTAAAACATATTAGAACATTGGACTATTTATTTATTGCCTTCTTCCTTGATTTTCTAATGATGACTTTAATAAATTTATTTGGAAATTAAAGTCTTCTCTTATTAAATAAAGTAGGGGGGGAGAAGAATGTGGGTGAACAAAGGTTTTGAGGACAATTTACTAGATTCGCGTCACCGCTCCTCGCACACCTGAGTGCTCCCAGCTCTGACCTACACTACCTTTGAGATCTCGGCCAGGGAAATGGTGCATCAGATTCTGATCTGTAAAATGAGGGAGTTCTCTTAAGTACTATCCAAGGTTGCTTTCAGCTTCAATGAAAGCTAAATTCTTTCTTGTGATTCTTTAATGGGCTGACATTTGAAGAATTGATGGAACTAAACGAGCCAGATTTCTTATTGTACTTTCTCTCAAAGATGTCAACTCTGTGAATCATTGCTGTGTGCGTGATTCCTTCTGAGGAAAAATTCTCTGTTTAGAGCTCTCTGGGGCAGATTCATGGAAACCAACACTGACAGAACCCAGAGTGGTCGCTTGGCCCACCGGTAGAAATCCAGATGCTGGCCATGCCCTGTTGCAACTAATCGAGCAGAAACCAATAAGACTCCCCGAATGCCTGGAAAT